ATTTGCTGTATTCATCCCTCTCCCTCTATGCACAGGCACTCATGCAACTCTGTTCCACTCTGAAAGAGCACAAACCACTCTCGGAAAACTCAGTGGAAAACTCAATTGCAATCAAAATCACCAACAGACTGTGCCACTGAAAGACAGGTCCTAAACCCCTTAACGCTTAGGGGCATTTGCGGCTCCCGACATTACTTGGCATGACATTAGCCTGCTTTCATGTCAATCTGGTAAGTGTGAACCAGCTATTGAAGCATTACAATAGCGCAGTTTCTCAATGTGGCAGGATGGAGTCAAATGTCAGGGAAGTTCGTGCTTTTTCACAGATGCTTTACTGGTTAATCTTTAACAATTAAAAGGTTTTTAGATTAGAACACCTTAGAAACAGGCTACAAAAAAAGGTGGGGAGGAGAACAGTCTAAGTAATATAAAAACGGAAATAGATAAAGCAGAAAAAAAGGAAAGAAGCAACCAGAGAAGATGTAGCAGAAGAATCTCCCTACAAATTCCTTTCATTATGCTCCATTTTATTTTTAAGAATCTAACAAGGTATAAGAGGGTTTTCATTCATGGAGAGCAAAGAAGCAATCCAATTTTGCATTAGAGGTCGCTTTCTTGCCACTTGAGGAGAGGTGATGCAAAGTAAATTTTAATAATTTTGAACTCTATCACCCAGTTGCCAAGGACATCCCTGTACCCAACTGTTCTGCCTTTAACAGCCATCGGAGGTTCAAAAACTGTAAACACTGTGGTTCAAAAACTGCAGGCAAGCAGAGATGGCAGAGTGGTAAACACGGCTGGCTGTTCCTGATCTTGTCATCTCTGGTAATACCTTTGTCTTCTTGAATAGGCAACAGCTCTGTCTGGAATAACATTTGGTGGATTTGGAGTAATATAGAGTAAATACTTACTGGCAGATTTCTGCAGACTCTAATCAAGGAAATCTTCTCTGGTTTGTGTAGCATGAGCTCGTATTTTATGAGATTTGGGAGAATTTTTACTTTCCTCAAGACATTTTTGACAATAGCTTTTAACAAAGCTAGGTGTCTCTGTCAAGGCACTGTAAAGCAATGCTACTTAGATAGCTCCTTTATTTCTTGGCTAACTATCCCATAACAATTTATAATAATATATAATACAATTTATAATATTTATAATTGTGGATGCAGTAAAATGCTTTTCTGCTTTTCTGGTAGTGTTACATTAAGGTTTTCATCCTTTATGAAATCCTTCATATGTTTAATGTACCTCTGCTAACAGTATTCAGTGGTATGACAACTGAAGGGGTTACAGCTTTAGGATACCAGAAAGGAAGATAAGTGGGTGATATGATCATGCAAAAGAAGCAAGGTCCAATGTTTGCCAGCTATGGTCAGTTGTCCATTTCCTAGGTTAACACTAGCTTGGGACACTACAATAATGGGATGCTGCTGAAAGCACAATGCAGAATCATCTTATAAAGTAAAATCTCAGTTCTGCATGGAGCAGGCCTTGCAGCTCAGCACCATCAAATCTTTTGTCTTGGACATAGTGACAAGAGACAAGGCAATGAGAACATTTTAAGAGAAATTAATTCAGTTTGGACTAGTGAAACTAGACTTAAATTTGACAAATTGGATTTGCATTTAACAAATCCTGATGTGAAAAGCAGTAATATTAAATTGGGTAAAAAAGAAAGACCATCTACAAATGAGCATAAATTACAAAGCTGACAGTTGGTTTACATTGCAAAAATTATTATAAAAATGAGAAATATTTTAATATAGCAGTTGGTAGTAGTGATGATGATTTAGAAAGATTTCTGTAATAGCTCAGCTGTACTTTTATTTAACTATGTCTCTTCAGACAAAGTAGACCTTGATTTATATAATCACTTTTGTATACTCCTGCAAGACTTTAAGAAGCTGCAGGTGTCTGAGGAGAATAATGAACACAGATCAATTATAAAATGAAAAAAAAATTAAAATGCCAAGTTTTCAAGACAACATCTTTTACTGACTTTAATGAATAAATGCTCCAAGTGTAAAAACCAATGAGCTGCTAGCTCATAGAAAGATATTGTACCAGGTCCAAGTGAGTTGACAAGCAGCCAGTGTGATTCTAGAAACTGCATGTGCATGTTACTACAGTTATAAAAAAGCTAATGAAATTTCCCTCCCATTTTCCTTACTCTGTGGTACATTTCTGCTCTAACAGAGTCAAACATCTTTCAGATCAAAGTTCTCATGTTCTTCTGCTCAAAACACTATTTGAATTAGCAAACGTCTGTATGCACCTGAGCAGGTAACCAAACTGAAATTGAGAAGAAAGGGGAGGACACGCCTAAGGACTGCCCAGAAAGGCAGGGTGATACTTCAAAAGCAAACAGAACTACCAATTTGAAGACGAGCTTGATGAATTACAATGGCTGTATAAAGGACTGAGGATTTTGGTGTACAGACAGGCGAGGATTATGTCCTGGCTTGGAGAGCTGTGTGGGCATGGCTGTGTGCAGCAGAGAAAGGAGAGGCAAATTAATAGAAAAGATTCTTAACAGCCTGCTGGGGAGAGAGGAGACAGGAGCTAGGGACCGTGAAGGATATGTATTTAATTTACCCTGGATAAAGCAACGGAGATAGAGGGAAGATGGAGCAATGTGAAAAGCACTGCTTTGACAGCTCCCATGACCTGGTCCACATGAAGCAGGACTTTCACCTTCAGGTCTGGAAGATCAGGGCAACACAGATGTGAGCATTAGCCCTGGTGATGCACCACTGTGCATGGAGGATTGTTGAATTTGCAAGCCCTTTGTATCTTGTGGCACAAGTAGGGTTCTACCTTTTCATCTGTAAACTAGAGTGGCGCCTTTGTTCGTTGTATGTGCTCATTTTGTCTGGGGTAGAGTTAATTTTCCCCACAGTGTCTGTCATGGAGCTATGTTTTGGATTTGCTCTGCAAACAGTGTTGGTAACACAGGAATGTTTTAGCTGTTGCTGAGCAGTGCTCACACTGTGTCAGGACCTTTTCTGCTCATTGTATCCCACCAGCGAGGAGGCTGGAGGCACAAAAGTAGCTGGGAGGGGACACAACTAGGACAGCTGCCCACAGCTGACCAAAGGGATATTCCACACCATATGGCATCATGCTCAGCATATAAACCTGAGGGAAAGTGAAGAGCGGGGAGGGGCACTGGTCAGGTGTTAGCAACTGTTTTTATTAGCTTCAATCGTCTTTCTTGAATTTTATTTCTATCTCTTTGTGGTTTGGTTTTTTGTTTGGTTGTTCTTTTGTTGTTGTGGGGTGGCTTTTTGGGGTATGCTGTTTTTTTTCTTTTTCCTTTTAAATACAATTTATAACTACAATTGTAATTATATTTTATTTCAAATATTAGACAATTCTAATCTCAACCCCCGAGTTTTCTTACTTTTACCCTTCCATTATCTGCCTCCTTCCATCCTTCTGGGATTGGGGGTAGTGAGCAACCAGTGGTGTGGTGCTCAGTTGCCCTCTGAGATTAAGCCATGACACACTTATTTTTCTTCTTGTGCCTGTCACACTTAGTGCTTGAGCTACTACCTTTTGACTTGCATATTTTTTCCTCTTTCTGGCAGGAAAAAAACTTTGCTAGCACAGTTTTCAAGGCCACCAGAATATATAATTAACCTTCTTACTGATACGAGATGTACCAGTAAGATCTTCTACATGTTTAGGCCACACAAAGCAAGCCTCCTTAATAGTGAAACCTACAGTCCAACACAGGGGAATTCTGCCAAGCTATATTCTTATACTACAAGATTCAGTAATTATCACAGGTATCTACATTTAATACAGCAGCTCATTGATGAGTGTTATTTAAATTACTTTGATATACTTCATTAGTCAACCTAAACTTCAATAGTTAACCAGAGTGGCAGAACAGGATGAAGCAGGTATTTCAAACATTCATTTAGGCCCTCAGGTATATTAGCTGTCTGCAAAACAATTAAGTGTTCTGGAAACTTACTTTATAAATAATGATGAATAGTATTCAGATGTCAAAGTTCCATGCAACTCTAAACTAGACTACTTCTTTTCTTGGGAAACAATTTGTGCACTAACCTGAGAACATGCAATACATTCCAAACACATGCCAAATGTGACCATTTCCCACAGATGTGTAGGAGATCCACTCAGTCTAAGGCTCCTGTCAGTAGTGACAGTTCAAAACCACTGAACAGCATTAGACAGTTTGAATACTTAGCTTAACTTCAACTCTCAAGAGGCCATATGCGTAATTCAGGTACAAAAATATATTCTCTGGGCCATATATTCCACCTGGAAGAACTACTGATAGGGAAAATCTATTATTTTATAAAGTCCCCAAACACTTTCTCTTTAATCTTTGCTAGCATGAGAATAATCCTCAGCTGATTTCCTGTGGTGTTACAGAACCGTGTGGGAGGTGATAGCAACAGTAATTAACTGTTGAGCAACACAAGACACTCCCTTCTAACTGCCACAAAACATGAGAACTTGATATTCTTAACATACACCCACTCTCGGGTATATCTTTTATCACAGCAAACACAGGCTCCCCAAACAGCCATGTTCATTGTGTCCTTTGACACAGTGTACCTACAGAAAATAGGAAAGAAGCCTATCAACAAAGCTCCATCCATCCAGGTGAACCAATGCAGCGCCCCCAGGCAGGCGGATCGGCGCATGGCGGGGCTGCTCACATCCGCTGAACTCCACAGCTCTGTGTCACGCTGCTGCCTGCAGAACAGACGTGCCCTAAGACCAACAAAAGGATTAGCTTTTTTTCTCTGGTCGCTCTGTTTTCTTCACAGGAGTTTCCCCCTTTCTTAAAATGGCAATGACATGTTAAAGATCCATCATACAGGCCAAGATATATTTGTGTGGATGAAATTAAAATACCGCAGGCAGGCATTAATAACTATATTTCTTTCAGAGGCCATCCTGGACTATTAACACAGAAGATTAAGAATCAGCTTTAAATTCTATATACAAATGGAACTGGCTGTCTACCCAATTTGAGTTTAATTCTTGTCACTGATATCCAGCAAAATAATATTTCTTCATTTATAATGATATGTATTTTGAGATAACTTTTCTAAAAATAGGATTCAAAATTTTCATAGAAAGTTTTAATAATTATGCTGGGAGCTAAGACCTTTAGTTAATGTAAAATAGTCTATTCAATAAATGCCTTGCAGTTAGAAACAATAGAAAGGGACAATACTCAGTATTTTCCAAATGTGAAGAGAACAGCAAAAAAATCTTTTAATAATCCCCTCTTCTCTGCCTCCCACATTGACCCATTTTGTATTGAACAAAGGCATATACATATCATTTTTGTTGCTGAATACATTACCCAGTTCTTGTTTAAACATGTTACTTCAGATTACATATGGCTGTAAAAATAACTGGTTGGACCAATTTAAACTGCTGATTATAATCTCAATTTTGGCATGAGGAAATTTATTACAAAACTTGTTTAGGACTGCAGATGTATCTCTGCCTCACAGCTGTAAGAAAAGGGTGGATTTGCAATGTTCCCAGTGTACAGATCTTAGTGAGTGTCTGAAAGACTCCTTAGCACAAAGCTAAAACATGTCACTAAAAAGACATTGTTTTTTTTCTAACTTAGTTGGAAGGCAAATGGTGATAAAAAGAAAATTAGGAACAATGCTGCATGTCTATGCAATTAAAATATTCTTTCATGTGTAAATAAAATGCTTCCTTAATAGCCCCAAATATTTTTTTTCAATCTTTTGGGCTCAGTGGAATTTGGCAGGACTGGGCGTGGTTAAGGGCTGCCGGCATGTTGGATGACATTGGCTGTCATCTGGGCAGAGCCTGTGGGCTGGTGGGTAAGGCTGACTACACACACAGACATGATTAGAAGGGATGAAGATGTGGGGGTAGTTATGCACCTGCCTGAATTCCTGGCCACTCAGTCATCCCTTTTTATCCTCCATTCCCATTATTTTTACAAAATAGACTAACAAAGGTGGAGGATGGAAGAAGACATGTCCATTTCATAACTCAGCCTTAACCACACAAAAGGACTTTATTGATATGTTTTACATACTTTTGTTTAGTTGGGTATTATAACCACTAACTGCTGACCACTGAAACTAATATACTGCTTTCAGGAACATAAAACCTCAGCACACATCTTGGTGGAAAAGTGTGAGAATAGTTGCATAACCATAGCACTTAGCAGCCAATACTCAAGTTCTTTCTTTAAGGACTACTTTAACCATGCTAAAAAACCTCTATTTGCACAGATGTTGTTGTTTAACTGATATGCCCATAATGTGACTAGGTATTGCAAACTTAGTGTGTACTAAGCCAAGCAGGAAGTTTACCCATTCACTATGGCAGATGCCAGGCCCATGTGCACTAAAGAGCCCACAATTCTCAACTATGTGAAACAGACCCTTGCCTCCGTGTAAAAATGAGGTAAGAACAAAACCAAGAACTATCCTCCAGTGGTGCAAAAGCAGTGGTATTTCAAGTACTTTTATATCTTCTGTGCATAGATATATGTGTATACATTCAAGGTAGGATAAGAACTATAATACAGGTATTAAAAAAATGGGAAGAAAAACATAACAATCAATCTTATTGACGTTGGCAAGTCTGAGGTTTTTATTTCAGGTTTACTATGATGGGGTTCCTAAATTTTGGATCCTAAGCTGACAAAGGAAATCATTCTTAATTAAAAAAAAACCCCAGGTGTCTTGTGAGAAGTCTGGCCTGACAAGAAATCCAATCAATGCAAAAAAGGTGGCAAACAAATCCCTAAGTTTCAAGATTTGTCAGTCTTTGTGCAAGAGCTAGTACACCTGGCACAGAAAAAAGGGCAAAGGGAGGTAAGAATATGGTGTTAACTTGTTATTCCCTCTACTGGAGAGATAGTTATATAGAAATTCTCATGTGCTAATGCTTTCTTTCAGATCTGTATATAGAAGAAAAAAAGAACAAGGTTTTTCTTGGCAGTCTTAATATCAGGTACTTGAGCATCATAACCTAGCCATAACTAATCTATCTATCTTACTGTTCTATCTTACTGTTCTATCTTACTGCCTCCACAGAATCCACAGAACTCAACTTCCACTTGTCTCAGGCTCTTAGTCTTCAGTTGGACTAGATCAGTCTGATTCCAGCTTCATTGTTTCCTTAGGCTAGAAGGAAAAGAAAACTCTTTGATCTCTTGTAAGAGCAAATAAATTCTTCTCCACTTTTTGACACTTACTGCATCAAGTTTGAATAAAAATCTCTGCCTTGGCAGACAAAGAAAGTCTTCTAAGCAATATTCAATTCCCAGAACAGCCTGAAGAGATTAAATTCTCTAGAATCTAAGATTAGATTCTCTATGTTCTCTGATACAGTATGACTAAATCCCAGTACCACTAGTGAGATAAGAATGCAGTTCATTGCAGCCTAAGCTCTCTCTCCTTAAACTCTTAACTTTTACTGTTCTTAACAGCAAGAATCTAGCTATGAGCTAGTTGACTCTCAAGTGAATAATTTTATTTCAGTATGAACAGAGCACCCATTTTGACACCTGACTGTATTTTTAGATGTCTGATTTTTACCTGACCAATGGGTAAGAATGGAAAGTATGATTAAGTCTATATCACTTTACTTGTTCCACTTTGGGTTCTGAAAGAGTTTTGATACTATTAAAATACATGCCATAAGCATACAAGCAGAAAGGCATAAACAAAGGGGAAAACTCAGATTTAATTTTAACATTTAACTTACACACAAGAAAGATATTGCAGTTGCAAGTGATATTGCTGGCTTAGTACCTAGTTCTTGGCAGTGAAAAATCATATACAGTATACCTTTACTGCTCTTTAAAATTTTTCATTCTGAAGACACCAACACTCAGTAATTAAGTACAGCTGCCATAGGAATGCAGAAGATATAAAATACAATTCTTTTTCTACAAAAAAAGCTTAAATAAAAACTTAACTACAGAAAGAAGTAGTGAAGGAAATAATAGCAAAAATATCAATCTTCAAAGTAGAATTTTCACAGAAATTGGTGTTTGAGATGCTGGCTAGTACCAAGAGGTTTTTAAACTTGGAAACTAAACACTGCATGGCAGCAACTGCCATTATGTAGAAGGCTTGCAGGTGCTGGGTTGCAGAATGTGTCTGGATTCTTGCCCACATGAAATGAGGGTCAAGTGTTTCTCATTTCCCTTATCAGAAACACCTCTCCTCCAGCAGAGGACAACAGTCAAGAAGGAGAATAATACCAGCAACAACTGATATCAGAAGAGGATTTGGAAGGACTCCTATGAAGAAGATAATAGTTGCCAGTAGGAGCAAGAAGGCCCCAAGGCAACTAATTTCTATTTTCAACTGTTTGAGACACTAAACCCAAAGGCATCTGGCTAAGAAGATACTTGGACAAATAATTCACAGCCCACCTCTTCTTGAGCTGAATCCTTCATGGTGCAACTTAGGCAAAAATGGATGTCTAAAAGTTTATTCCGCAATAGTGCCTCAATTCCCTCTCCCAATGTGATCTGAGAAATGCTCCTTAGGAACAGCACCCAGACTAAGCCTCTCTTTACTTACCAGTAAAAACACTGTCTGTTCCCAGGAATTTGTAATGTCCAACGAGCTCCTGTGTTTTAAGGATCAGCCTTGGACACTTTTTTGCCTGAATAAGAACCCAAGTGTGATAATATATTTTCTTCTCTGATTTTCAAAGAAAGTTTCCAACCCAAAGTGTGGCCAGGATGGAACATTGTTATGATCAAAGCCCCTCTCTTGCAGCCCTACAAACAGTGTTCCAAAGTGAGACCCTTTGAGCTCTCCTGGAGAAGCAGCTGTGACCAGCAAAGCCCCTGTGAGTGGGGCCTCTCAGAGCCAGGGAACTCCCATGTTTGCTGTATTTGGAAGATCCCAGGACTTCTTGAGGCTCCACCTTTCACAAAGGCATCTGAAGTGGGTATTTCACTACTCTGAGGGGAATTTTTCACCTTGTACAGGCTCTTTGTGCCTGTGTGCATGCACGTGTGCATGTTCTGTACCAAGTGCACAAGAAATGCTGCTCCTCTAGATTCTCTAATCGCTTTAGATTTGTAAGTTAGGTCTGTAAGTAAGTTACTGTTGTGGTATACTAAATCCTTTATGAATCCTTTGCTAACACATTTAACTTCAGTTATAAGTTATGTGGCATGGTTTTGGTTTATTTCGGACAGGACTGATTGAGTCCAGGTTTTCATCTGCTTTTCCTCAGTGTGCCCTTAAGACTGAACCTTGCCAACAAACCTTGTCCTGCTGTTGCTTTTATACTGGACCTGTTTCTACCAATACTCTTGCTGGTGATGCTTTAAGCAATCTGAAAACGTTCTTTAGTCTCTGTAGTGACAGAGACTACATTATGTCTGAAGCACAAACTAGCGACTGAGATGAGACAATAACCCCACAAAACTCCTCCTTTTCAAAACAGAGCAGGCATTAGGACCACAAAAAGTTTTAGATGAAAACAGTTTGGAATGATTACATTCAATCTCTTTAACTTGAAATGTGATCTATTCCCTACCTTGTATAGTACCTCAACTCTGTTTCTGTCCAGGAGTCCTTCATGATTGCTAAAGATGTGTGATTCATACACAGAAGGCTGACCTTAAAAACTGCTAACAGGAGCAACAAAAACTCTAAACCAGTTTCTATTCTTAGCTTTCCGGGGCAGAGTCAGATATTAGATGATAGAGTCACCATATAAATACTTGAATAGAGGATCCCTGCTATACCTCCTTCTGAAGAGAATACTGCGTTTATAGATAAATATGCAAAACTGAAAATGCAAGAACAGGAGGCACAAACATCTGTTGACTCCCACAGCACATGAGCACTTGAAAATGGATACAATCTGCCCCTTCAAGACATTGATAAAAGTAAGTTGGAAGTATTTCTGAGCTACCCCTATTTAATGGAAAATTCTCTGTATCATGTGTCTTGGAAATGAAAGGGTTATCTCCTCATGTACTAAAGATAACAGAAGCAATGTAATTTTGACTGGTCCCAGGGTCTTTTATTTTTTCTTTATCAGCTGTTCAACACTATACTTCAATAAAGTATACCAATGTATAAGTACAAAAGTCATCAAGTATGAAAAAGTAATCCTTTGGATTTAACTTTACAGTGACAAAGAAACACAGAGAACAGTGGAAACATTTCTTGCTCTAACAGAACTAAAATCCAGTTGTGAGAAATCCAACAATGTCCAATTCTGTAAAAGCCTGTGAATGCAGTGCCTGAATGTCAATTTTATATCAGCTCATAATTTAAATTCAGCCTTCATCATCACTGCTGCTCCAAGCATCTTCATACGCTGGATTTACATGTTGTTGAGGCAGAGACTAGGGAAAATAAAAATTCTCAGTGTTTTGCTTAATTAAAAATACTACAATCTAATAAGGGAAAAGCTAAATGCACTTTTTAAATGACTACATGTAGACAAACTATTCTCTCATCAGTACTGGATTATTTTTAACTACTTTCTTAGAAATTCTGCTGATTTGAGACATGATAAATTACGAAAAGAAATAGTACTGTATTTAATTTCAATTTCGGCATAAAACATCTGGAGGACTGACTGTAAGTATTACAAATATTTGGTACGAAATGTAACAAATGTTACAACAGTGTTTATTGTGTGCCACTGCTTTAATTTAGATCACAATATCCTCAGCCCATCATAACTTAGCATTGCAGTTTCATAGAGGCCAGGCAGCCCTGGCCTCTATCCACATCCAAGAAATATTTCTCACCTCAACCCCACTAGGGTCCAACTAAAGGGTTTGTGTAGCTATGCAGTGCAGTGAACACAATGACTTGGGGTAACTTATTTTTCTTGATTACTTCTATTCTGGGTTCAGATTCTGGTCATACAAGCACTCAAATGCCTATTTTAGCACCTGAGAGGAAACATGAATTAATGGCCTGTGGGCAGCAAAATAGCTTCTTACAGAGAAATCTCATTTACAGCATTTGCAAACACCAGCTGTAGCTTAACAGATTTCAAAACAATGGCATATACTACATACTGCCACTGTGTCAAATTTAAAGGAGCAGCTCTAATCAGAGCTAAGTAAATAATGTTGTTGCTGTGGGTTTTTGTTTTCCAGACTAAGAAAAATCCAATTTATTCACATCAAAATTTTCATGGCAAAAATGTTAATTTCAGGTCAACACAATTTGCGTTTAGGGTAGAAGACCTTTGGAACTATATTTTTCTTCTCTGCTTAAGTGCAGGATAGTTTTGAAATACAAAAACTTACAAAAAGCAAATGTTACAACAATTTTACGTTTCTTATAATTTTTCCATCTAAAATGGATTGATGCTGAAATTTTAAAAACTGGAATTTTCACATGCTATAGGCCAAAACATTAATACACCCTCATTTTTCAACTCAGTACAGTTTGCCAGACTGTGATCCGGTAATGGTTTCAGTTCCTTAAAATACAGACTTTTTGTCACTCAGGCTGCTCACTGAAATATTTCTTGTCTGAGAGAGAGAAAGTACTCTACTGGAAAATAGTCTTACATTTAATCTTCCCTGCAATCACCCTGAATGTCTTGCACTGGGCCTTTGATTTTCACATCATAATTATTTGTGTATGAAGTGTGGTATCCCTAATCTTACTACTTAATACACAGTATATTCTTAAACAATTTAAAATACCATCTAGCACCTCTACAATTCCAAAACAGGACAAACTGCAGAAAGCAGTTTGGAAATGAAAGAAGCAGAATTTGAAAGACACAGAGTCAAATGACATGAACTACTCTTAAATAAGTAGGAAGGTAGCAGCCTCCAAAAGTTTTGACTACACTACAAGAGAAAATGTTTTCTCAAAACCCTACAAGGAATAAAAGATTGCACAGAAATAATAGGTGATTCTCCTCTTAATTAGAAATTGTTAAAAATATTGGTGGTGAATCACATACTTCATATTGACTTTACACACAACCTGCCCAAGTATAACAGCCACCAAAAAGTACAGTTCAAACTCAAAAATTCACTACCTTTTCAGACGTATCATCAGGAACTGGCTCTCGTGGAGCTGGTATCCATGCAAGGATATTGCAGTCTTTGCTACCACTATAAAGTTCCTGTAAAAAACAAGCAAAAGTTACTTTCACACAAATTTAGTGAATAGTGACACAGATATCATAGTGGGCAGAAAAAAAGGGTAGTGAATATTATTTAAAAATAAAGGCAAATAGTAAATTTCTAATTTATATTATAAATCTGGATAAGTAGTATTTTAAATAATATGCCAAAACAAAATTAATATGTTTTTATATTTTTTCCCAGATTGCTCACCAAAACAGCAAAACCACACTGAAATGAACTGTGTTGCTTAAATACATTTTTCTTCTTCCCTCTCTCTAATCTCCCGAAAAGACAGCTATTTTAACAGTTAGGCACCTTAAGAGATTGTTTATGGACAAGTAAAAAACCTGAAAAAACCCCACAAACAAAAAACAAAAGAGAAATATTTTTTAATAATTAAAACTAGGAATAAATTCAGAAGAATCAAGAATCTAGTAAGACACATCAGAAAAGAGAATATGTATGGAACAAAGAAGTATTAAGCAAATATAGTCCTAGGGAAGGAAAAGAAAAAAGTAGAGTACAGTATGAGGCTTGTACCCTGTTGGGAAGGCATGGATGAGAAAGACTCATTTATAATTTTAATATAAATAACGCTTATAAATTGTTATAGTTATGACTAAGGACTGAGATCCCATTGCACAAGGCGCCCTGCAACACATGAAAACAAATAGTTCTTATATCAAATAGCCCTAAGTCAAATATATCTTAATTTTCTTACTGTTCTTACTAAAGAACAAGTCTGTAGTTCTGTACTAGAGGAAATACACACTTCTCTGTCACTCTAAGATGAGAAAATTTTGCTGGTGAGAAATCCTAACACCATCTTTGCAGTAAATTTTGCACCTATAACACTTGCACTTTCCGACACGCGTAAATTAACAGGTATGAAGATATTCTCACATGCCTTCAACACTGAATTATATTCCTGCTTATTATATGTTATGTCTGACAACACTTGAGTATTGTCATGTATTTAACTTCCTGAGTGAGACATATGAGTTTTTTTGTAGTATTCAGGTTGACAGTATGAAGAATGAAAGCTGTGCTTTATGTATGCTGGTTTTTACACTTAAACTAGCGACTGTCTGCATATGTGCACTTTATGAGTATATTGATTCAATGTAAGCTCAATATATTATCACAGGTCTGTCTTTGCAGGAAGTCTCCTATATAATTTATATATAATTAGAACTGCATGAATTATGTTGACATTTGGTAAAGAAATTTAATGCTCAATTCCTATAAACATCTATGTGGGTAATCTAATTCAAGTGAGCTGCCATACTTTTCTAAAGCTGGTATTATGCATGAAGTTGCTCATGCATAAAGAACATTCAAGATAAGAGTTTACAATTTTAAGAAACATAACCATCCTACTTACCTTGCTTAAAAGAAGATATGGTACACCAAAGTATAGGTCAAACTCTACTTTATTCTGTCAGCAAGCAGTACTCTGCTCGGGCCTTCTGTCTTTGATAGAATCTAGAATATCACTAAGAACTTCAAAAGATCTTTCTATGCCAAAATATCTCCTTATGAGCAATGTCACAGTGACATCTGCATTCTTCCATTTTAATCCTTCTTATCACTTGTCTGACTTTCTGATCCTGGTATGGTAAGATCTTCAGCCAATATCCACTGCATTAAGCAATACTTAAAATTAATTATTACTACCTGAACTGGTGACTCACACCATAAATCAGTCAAAAGAAGAGCTAGTGACCTCTATGTAGAATTATGTTATAATACAGGACAGACACATATATTGCACTACAAACATGCTCTATGCATGTTTATAGTACAATATATGGAAAGACTGCAAATAAAACCTAATTTAACTTCTAGTTAACTTAATGTAATAGCATACTACTGGATTTGCCAAATACCTTTGCAGATGTCACTAGCATTCTTGAGCAGTATGAGCAGCAGTATGATTTAAATAAAAATTGCTTCCTGTTGCACACCTACTATTTTATGACATGTTATTCATACGTGATGATTTACGCGATTTTTTTTTCTGAAAGGGAAACATAGGTCTTGTTTGTTTATTTAAATCATTCTAAGTAGGCACACTGGTATCTAGTATGTTAGATCCAACTGTAAACATCATCTAAGATATTGCACAATGAAGATTTTCTCTTCCACACCACCCTTGAAATTACTGACCTCCTATTAAATTAATGCTTCTTATTAAAGGGCTAAATTCTGCAGTTCTTATTACTCAAGCAGTCTAACATCTTATTAACTTTATAGATATATTTACATAAGAACAGTACAGGCAAACAATAATATAGTGGATTTTATGGCTCTGTTCCTAGGATCAGAAAAGGCATATATACACACATTAACTAAAGCTCATACCACTCTCTGGAGACAGCTCTGTACTGCACCTCAAACATAAAAGGTATTTCACACAAACATGCTAATTAATTTGGATAAGAACAGATAAAGACTAGTGGGATTGAATTTCAAATAGCTAGCTCCTTGGTTATCAGTGATCATGTTTGATTATATGGTCCCAAGCAAAGGTAAGACACTTCTCATCTCAAATACATATTCTATATAAATTCAAATACATAACTGGTACAAAATTTAAGTTTATTCTTAGAGCCTATTCTAGTTACGAGGTGAAACAAAGATAGCAAGTAAAATACAGTTAATGAACAAGAAGAACATGAAGGACTGACAGCAATCAGTACTAATAAGGAATTCTGAACACAGTAAAAAATAGTGAGAAAAACCTAAGGACCAGATTTAAGGATGGGTAGGACACAAATCAGTCACCAGGGTTAAAGACAGCAGGAAAAGTTTATAAGACTGTTAATATGAAGAACACTTAACAACAACAGAGAATACCACATGGAAATGGCCAGAACTACAGAAAAGATGTAGATCTTGTTTCTCATGAACACAGAATAATAAAGTCCAATTAAGTGCTAACGAGTAACAAAAAAGTTACAAAGCCACTGCTACACATTTCACCACTGTATATATAGCTTACATCACAGATGTAAGCTATGTATACAGAAGAACCATCAAGCAAAACTTCCAGCTTGCTTAATTATGTTTTGATATGTATTTAAAAATTCCAAAGCTGAAAGTGAGATGATACGCCATTCAGAAAGAAAAAAAAAAGGCAGAATAATATAGACAAGAATGAACTGACATTTTTTAATCTCAAACATGACAATGGAAAAGATTATCGAATGATTAAGTTACTGTAGAATTAAAATATAGATATATAAATATCACTCAAGAGAATTTGCAATAGAGCATGTTTTGTTAAGGAAAAGTGATTTTACTTAAAACTAGTAACAAAATACAAATGTACAGTTGGGAATAACTTTGCAGCATGTTGATTTAATAATACTTGAGAGAGTAAAATAGAAGAGGTGACTATAAATTTTACAAACAATATTACATTCTCAGGAAAGAATTTTTACTGGCAAAATTGTAATTTATATCAGAATTACATGAAGACTGATGAATGCACTTAGTTGTATCAAGATAGGATAAGATACTTGGAAGTACATGTGTGAACACTGAAAATAACAGTAGCACTACCTTTGGTATTGAAATCCTGATAAGGATGTGTGGATTTGGCATGGCCTGCTTTATTGGTAGCAGGGGAGGGCCACAGGAGTAGCTTGTGTGAGAAGCAGCCAGGAGCTTCAACCATGTCCAACAGAGCCAGCATCTGATGGCTCTGAAGATGGATATGCTGTGGGCCCAATTAGAGAGGTTGATAACGCCTCTGTGATGACATTTAAGAAGAAAATCAAAACAGCGCACCTTTTTTTCCCTGGGGAAGTGAGGCACCATGGATGCCATCATCTTGGTGCAGCCCATGGCTTCCCCTTGCTGCCCCTGCCCCGGCCAGCCGTGCTGCAGCAGAGAGGGCAGGGGCAGCAGCAGCTTCCCCTTCCAGCACCCGCAGGAGGCAAGGCGTCAAACGGCGCCCGCGGCAGCCACCACTGCTCACGTGGTGCTGGCCCTGGCCCATGGCTGATGGCACAAACACGGTGAACAGCACCCAGCCTAGATGAGATCAACTTCCCAGTGCTGTGGGATCCTGCAGGAATCTGAATTTGTGGAACTTGTTGGCAATGGTACCTATGAGCAGCAGTTTTTCTTCTAGATAGAGGAGGTGAGAACATGTGAGGGAAAAGAACATGGCAGCACCAAGCTCAGTGGAGCAGGAGAGGGAGGAGGTGCTCCAGGCGCTGGAGCCAAGATTCCCCTGCAAGTGAGGACCATGGTGAAACAGGCTGTTTCCCTGTAACGCATGAAGTCCACAGGAGATGCAGAGATCCACCGTCGTAAAAATGCTCATGCTGGAGCGGGTGGATGCAAAGAAAGCTGTGATCTAGTGGGAAACCTGTCCAGAAAAAAAGGGCTCCTGCTTCCAGAGACAGAGAGCCCTTGCTTCCAAAGCAGAGCAGCCTATCCTTAGAGGACTGCACCCTGTGCCAAAGTGACCCACAGCACGCCAGTTTTTGGGAAGACTGTTTGCCCATGGGAGGGATCCCACAGCATGGCAGAGGAAAGACTCCTCTTCCTGAGTGAACAGAAGGTGATCTCCAGTGATGAACTAACTAAATCCCCATGTCCTGCCTCCCTCCACTGTCACTGGGACAGAAGGAGGGGGTGAGGGGAAAAAAGGTGTTTTAAAGGCTTATTTTACTTCTCATTATCCTCCTATGACTCTGATAATAATAAATTTACTTTATGTCTTTAAATTTGAACCTGTTTTGCCCTTAGAATGTTTTTCTCCCAATCCTTACCCCAACTTATGAGCTTTTAGTTTTCTTTTTTTCTCTCTCCTCTGCCCAACTGTAGCAGGAGAGGGTAAGCAAACAACTCTTGTGGGTGCCTGGTATTAAGCCAGTGCCAAATCATGACATATAGCAATGTCGTTTCTCAGACTACCTATTTAATACAAGTGAAAGCACAGCATTTATGAAAAAAGAAAATCCAGTCACACTTCTAGAGTATAGAACTGAACTCTGGAAAAGGGTGCTTCTGAAAGAGAATCAGGAGTCACATCAGAAAAGCAAATGAAGTTGTTGACATCACAGACTTCTAGATACAGTGACTGCTGTAGTTCTTGTGTGCATATGCACACATGAGTGATCCTTTTCCATGGATCTCAAATGCCGAGGTAGAGACACCACATGTAAAACAAGTAAAACATGTTTTACAGAGAGAGACCTAATTAGCCTCACCTCTTCAGTTTATCAAAAAGAACACCAAAGATAACTTTATATAAACACACTAGAAGTTTTGTTGGGAAACTATTCTTGAAAAGACAAAAAGCTTTTCAAGAACATTCTGGAAAAGATGTGCTTTAGCCACAATGTGAATATTGCAGTCGATGTATCTCACTGACTATTAGTATCAGACTGCCTTCCAGATCTAGCAAAGTTTATTAGCTTAAGGTCTACTCATGTCCATAATGTGACCATAATTTTCAGCGAAGTCTGTCTCAGTAATACAGTCTCAGGGATTCAGTCAAAGCTACTAGACACAAAGCAGAAGGTACCAGAGTAATTTCTATGATGAGAGGTCATAAAATGGTATCTACACACCCCTTCTGCCTCAAGTATTTCTACCTGATACTCAGAAACAGCAGGAAAAGAAGGCAGAGCTGGGACATGAAGTATGATCCTTAATACAGGGGGGCAACTATGTAATGGCCTGAAAATCCATACTATCATACATTCTGCACTTGGCACAATACATGCCATATGAACAATCTGTTCTAAAGTAACTCATAACAAATTCATTTTTGTTATCCTTAAGTCTTTTATTACAAGATAAAAATACACCAGAGTGGGATAGGAAAAGGAAAAAAAGGCAGAGAAGAAAAAAAACATCTGTCAGTACCATGAGTCCCTGTAATGCTATAGTATTTCTCAGCTGAAATATTCTCTGATAAATTTAAGAATCTCACAATGTTGCCAGCACTTTATCCAATGTGTAACTACAGGCACTTGAGCAAGATCCCCTTAGCAAAGTATTCGAGAGTCTTCTCAGTACTCACTGCAGTACTAATGCACTTCACAGTCTTTCTTAATGTGATTAGTCTCTGAGAAAGATAACTCCTCTTCCATTTTACAGAAAAGTCTTCACACATATGCTTCATTAACGATTACACAAGTCAAAAAATTACTAAAGGTATATTGAGAAGTTACATATGTGAGACAAAACAAGCAGTGGAAGGAACCTAATCCAGAAAATGTCATCCCAAAAGCTTGACTAAACTTTTCCTGGATGACACATAAGACACAGTACTCCCTCTTATGATCTTTGATTAAAGCATATCCCTGAAAAGTGAATGCTTTTATAGTGCAAATGGTATGTCAATCTGCATAAATATTCCTGCTTGTCTGGAATACTGCTTGTATTTTACTTACCTGAAAATGAGGTTGAAATACACAGCAGTTGACAGTACTATAGTGCCCTCTAAGCATAGTTATCAGTTCTCCTGTGAAAACTGTATAAACAGCAATGGTACTTCCATACGGAACAAAGGTAAACTCTGGATTACAGCCACAAGAGATGGCAAATTTGAGTCCTTTCCTACTTTCATTACAGACTTTCCCATAGTTTACCTGCAAAATGAAAGATCACATAGATTACATAGTCAGCTATTAAATAAAATCCCAGGAAATTATATTAAAAGGTCAATTTTACTTCATGTTTAACACTCAATAAAATTAATTTTGGGTTATGTTAATAAATCTCATGATATTTCAAAGTACAGATGCCTACCAAGATAATTATTTTTATGTTCAATAAAGTTTACTCTTCTTAATATCAATTTAGAAATAAAGAAAAGAAAGGAAAAGAAAGGAAAAGAAAGGAAAAGAAAGGAAAAGAAAGGAAAAGAAAGGAAAAGAAAGGAAAAGAAAGGAAAAGAAAGGAAAA